CATTTGCCTCTCTAACAATAAAAAACCTTTGACGAATTTTGTGCTTAATAAAATAAAATGCTACCTTTAATTATTAAAAGATTAACGTGGGACCAATACGGGAATAAACATTTTTGATAAACAAGAAAAATTGTGAAAATATGTATATTAAAAACAGCAAGTTTACTGTACTACGTTGGCAAGTGCGCAAAATTGTCATATGCTTATGTATTTAATAGTAGCATATTTTTATTTATAGATTTTTTAATAGTTCTGGGTTGCGTAACTGACAAAGTGAGCCGTCCTCGCTATTAAATACAGGCGTATTAGTAACATGTAGAAAAGATTATCTAAATCTAGAGCACTAAAGATATCTCTCAAGCCATACCATACCATGACTGATCTACAAGGTGATCGAGTAAGGGGATGCACAAAATATCTCAATACAAGTGCACTAGTTCATGTTTTAACCGCTTATGTGAATATTAGGAAAATATAGCTGTTTGTTTTAAACAAACAAGAAAATTTTCAGTCAGTCTAAATAATAAAGGCTTAATTCTTAAAAAATAAAATTTTCATATTATTATTTTTAAATATCTAGACACAACGAGTTTGTATTCGTAGCCTTTAATAACATAGCTGAATATGAATGGCCATTACAATTTGTTCCGGTAATAAGAAGATAAAAAGTAAAGAGTAATGTGCCATTTTTCAATATTTGTCATATAATTTGATTATATTATTAAAGATTGATATAAATAAAGATTATAAAGTACGTACAATATTGTAAATGTTGGTATATATAGGTATATTTTTATAATAATATCACATATAATCATATCATTCTCAATGAATACAGGGACAATGTGGCCTATGAATGCGATCAACCGAAAAGAGAATGTTTTACTCAGAATGATTGTCTGCACTATGCCGGCTCACTGAGTCACAAACTTTTATCTTTACATTTTTACGTATTAAATAACACTAGCGACCCGCCCCGATTCGCACGGGTAGACAGCTAACACATCTTTTATTTTATTTAAAAAATAAAATATAGCTCATGTTTCTCCTTGATATTGAATAATTCTATAGATAAAAAAAACTTTAAAATCGGTTAAGTCTATTTTTTTTTTTCAATATTTTGTTTGTCTATCCATTACAAACAAAAAATTAAATTATTAATTTTTTAGTTTATAAAAATTATTTTTTAATCTGGCATGACTAATGACAGTGATTATTATTACAACATTATTTTTTTTTATACAACTTAGAATGGATGAACCTGATGGAAAGTGGTAACCGTCGCCTATAGACATGAGCAGTACCATGGACGTAACAGAGTATACTGTTTCGCCCATGATACCCCCCATGCGTTGCTATTCCTGAGGACTCAGATGTTATTCCTCTGTACCCAGTAAATTCACGCCATATCTCAACCTTCAAACCGAAACACAGCCATGCAAACACAACTGCTTCACGGTTGGAATACGTAGTTATACTGTAATGATTGTATTAATTTTATTGATATATGGTTTTTACGAGTAAAGTGCTAGAATGTATTCTGAATGTGAGATATCATCGAGAATCTGAATTCTAAGCTTACAAGTAGCTCTCATAACCCAAAATACGTCTATAAATTGAGTTAAACTATTAAGACCTGTGCAAATAATGGACACTTTGTTCTTACACAACATTTCTATTTGTATAAACTATGTGCGACCTGAAATGTTGGCGGTTTTCTCGTTGAATTTAAAATCTCGAGTTGACTGCAATACCATAAAGATGATTTCTTTTGTCAAAATGTGCAAGCCCTTAATATTATGGTAGTGAACAAAGTCACAAACAGATGTTAGTATAAAATATTTATGAATATTTTTCATAGTACAACGACTTTATTGCTTTTTTCTTCGGTGGCTTTATATTTACTTCTACGGAATACGTAATCCAATTCATTCTGTCCAAAACGTATTGTGTATTTCGAGTTTTTCCGTCTTCCCTCCAAGGAATCGGTCGCGAAAAAAATATTTTCTCGCTTGATATTATACAGAATTTCTTTTCTTTACTTTATTCATATTAGAACGTTTATAATTTCGGTAGAGGCGCACCCACGATCTATTTACGAACATAATAAATATTACAAATTTCCCCTAAAGATTTTTTCCTGGAAGGAACTATTTATTGGAATACCTTTATGTCCTTATTTTTTTATAGTATTTTTTCATCTTACGTCAAAAGGCGTGATTGAACAACAATATTGGTTCAAAGTATTTATATATAATATGTAATAGAATTGAGTATTTTGTTCTAAAGAAAACAAAAGTGACTTAAATTGTGACTAACTTAATTTTGATTAGTACTAATTTTTTTTTTATGTGCAAAGCCGATAAATGAGCATGCAGCCCACCCGATGGCAAGTGATTACTGCAGCCCATGGACACTAATGACACCAAGGAAGTTGCCAATGCAATGCCGGCCCTTCTTTTCTCGAAGGTCCCCATGTCTTATTTATTATAAAATTCCACTGCTGGTAATTTCTTCCACATTTTTAGAGAACGTGGCAGGAAACGACGGGTGAAATGTACAAAAATGACATATTTAAAATCTAATCTAGATGAAATTAAATTTAAAAGAAATTATTTTAAATTAAACACTGATGAACGACGAGATATTACATAGACGTATTAGATTTGTATTATTTGATTTAAAAAAGCGAAATCGTGTATTTAGAGAATTGGTTTCTCAAAAAAACACAACAGAAATGAGATTTTTGTTTTTTCAATCGATTTAAAAAATGTAGGAAGTCCTTAAAAAAATATGAAGTTCTCAAACCAGTTGTATTTTTTATGTTTGTTACCTCATAATTCTGTCAGTTGTAATCCGATTTGAAAAAATATTTTTCTGTTTCAAAGGATATACTTACGGATTAGTTCTGTAGGAATATTATCAAAATTGGTTTAGTAGTTTAGTTTTTAAATTAAAATAATTGAGTTATACCGCAACTGAAGTCGGTATTTCCTATGAAACACAATGTTAATTATTTTATTAAAAAAACATAACATTTAAGGTTTTCTATATCTCGATATGTTCATAAAAAAGTAAGCTGTTTGTTTTTCGTAATACGATGAATATTTAACATTATCAGTACATTATAATTCTCGAAATTGTAACAACCCTAGTTGATTTTCAACTTTAAATAAAATAGCATAACCGTTTATACGATTTTGTATAATTATTATAATCAAACTTTATATTTTTCAACTACTTACAATGTCACAAACCATTAACTGAAGGCGTGTTCCAAATAGACCTCTTAAATGAAAAATATAATGACTGTTTTATACGTTTTGTTTACAACAACAGCGAATACAACCACACCGTTAAAAAGCCTATAACACTTAAGGAAAACTCTCTTAATGAAAACATTAAAAAATCTAAGCATGAAATTTTGCAGGGCACAGTGTGTACCGAATAGGGTTGTCATATGCTATTTTTGATTTTTACCCAAATATTAAATATTTTTTCTCCAAAATGACATGATTTCGTTCAATTTTAACCATATACAGATTTTTACTGATTTTCAGTACGTTTTGTCATATAATAAAAAAATAAAAAAAGTGAATAAAGATATCTAATGGTTAACTTCTCTTATCCTCCTTTTTTACCATCACATTATCCACATTCCCATAAGACCATTTCACTTGTCTCCAAAAAAATTTGTACAAAAATTTAATTTTCAATGTTTTTATCCAAAATACCGAAAAAATGCCCAATATAGCAGCGGTAGTATAAATACATATTTTGTACAAAGTAATTTTTGCCAAGAGCGGACTTTCGGCACCGCAGTGAAGGACCGACAAAATTATGAGTCCTAACGCGGCTGCAGTGACATCGGCCTTAATCCCCTGGTTTACGATCTTCTGCGACATGCTGTATTGTATTATACTGAGTTTCTAGTGTTCCGTACATAAAGACGGTAATATAAAGTTATTTGAAATGTTATTATTGTACGTATAAGTGGTTAATAGCGTTAGTTTGATACAAACTGATAGATACGTGAATATGTATAACTTTGTAATCATTATATTAATAAAAATATTTACCTATTTTATATTGAATAAGATTCTGGTTTTTTATATGGCAAATCGTTAGTGAAGCTTTTTGCGTAAGTCAAAATTTGGTACTTTACAGGAGTTCCGGAACTATTCGGGGCCCTTAATCTTAAGTGGCTCATCCGCTCAAGATTAAAAGTCTTGAATGGTCATGAAACTAGTCGAGCTTTTTCAACCAAATTACACAAAAATAAAACGAGTAAATATTATTATACTTTAAAATATAATGAGTACTTACAAAACTTTTAGTAATGACACTTTACAGGAGAGCAAAAAAATGTAGTAAAATGTCTAAGTCTTTTTGTTTCTATTGTATATATATTTTTAAAAATAAGATTCAATGCAAGACAGTTGTTCAAAATAAAAATTTCTAATAAGTTCAGATAGTTTGCGTTTCTCTTAATAATGTAATCGAATCAAAACATAAATATTGCAAAAAAATTACTTACGCACTTTTACAACTTCACTGGCAAAATGTCAACCAAATATGTTCACTACACTGTGTGTATAATATCTATGAGGATATATATGGCCATAAATTATATTTTTTTCATAATTTGTACACGTAGAAAGTAGCGGATTCATTTTCAGTTTTTTCCTTCACATGAAAATTTATTTTACTGGCCTTTAATATGTTTTTAAAGGTACAGTTATCATATCTAATTAATTTTTTTTAATTAAAAAAATCCACATTTTTATTTTATACAGGAACATTAAATTAACGTAGTCAGTGTAAATTCTCTGTTATAAAACCGTGTTCACAGTGAAACTGTGTCATAAACTTCTACCTTATTCCTATCTTCACGTACTTCAAGTCGCGTGCTTTTATTAAAGAACTCGTATAATTTTTTTTGTGAAATGCTGCTTTAAGATATCACAATATGTCTTATGCATATTTTTTGTTGTTGTCAGGAACGCTTGTGTCTGGCTGGATTCCAACGTACGAGTACAAAGGTAAAAAAGAAACAATCTCTTTGATATATAATAGCACAGTATTGTACAGGTCAGTTTTAATGGGATGAAAATGGAATGATAACTCCGCTTGCGCTATCGGTATACGCCAGTGGTGCACCAGTAAGGGGTAACAGGTGATGATGAAAGTTGGTCAGATGGTCCATTGTAACAATTTAGTAAGAATTAACCATAATGGTTTCCAGCGTTGGGGGGGGGGGGAGGGCTGACATGGGTCAGCAGTGAACAGAATAACTCAATACATAGATATCAGATATTACCCATATCTAATTGGTTGATGTCGATTAGTAAGATTTAACACGGTATTTTGACATAACTTATTAAACATAAAAGAGTCGTGTGTCAAAAAAGACCTAATAACGGTCAACTGTCGTGTTTCATAGTGCATGAAAGTCTCAAATATAGGATTAATAATATAATAGATACATAAAATAAATATAATGACGATTTTTTACTATCAGTCACCGATGACGTGTTTATAATATCATACCATAGACATTGGTTTATGTGCGCATGTCTCAAAAAGGGCTATTTATAATTTTATTTAAGTATCATGATAATAAATAATTATAAAATCAATTAAAATATAAATTATTGTTCTCTATACATTACAAGAATAATTTATTACAAAATTCGGTATAATAACAATTTTAATACTTTATTATATTTAAAGTAGTTACTTTGATTTTTATTAATAAATGTAAGTATACATTTTGACACAAAATGTTTAAGAAAATTAATATAATTTAAAATCAGTATCTAACACGTGCGTAATGTGACAGAGTTTGTGAGCTCGATCATAGAGTGTTCTATTTGTATGGTCGTATCTGCGCATCGCCGGATGATGGAATCAATTCCCAGATTAGTTCGTTGGGTGATAATGGCAAATAGCTCGGTAGTCTTATTTATGAGCACGGCTCAGTGCGTGACACATCCCTGAGCCGTGCTCATGAATAAGAGTTCCTATCGAGTTCGAAACTAGTCGGACAACCCACGAGTTAAATATGTAAGTAAATTTGATATAAATAATAATATATAATGCAAAATTTTTTTTATTGGATGATAATGGACTCACTCCATAATGGAAACTTCTTTTTTGGTTCTTATGTTAAAATTATAGGTAATTATAAAAAATCTTCAAAATAGTGTTTTTTTTTTAAAGAATGATAATAGAATGGTAACCCTGTTAACGGTATACAGATCATCAGTAAGGGATGATAGCTGAGAATGAAAAGGCAGGTCAGTTAGCCCACCATGATGAATACGCTTGGAATTCAGCACAATGGTTTCCAGGGGAGATCACGTAGAGGTCGACCTGACGGGGTATATTGCTAGCAATGAGATTAGTAATCCGTATTACTAATAATTCCTTCCTCCTACTATTAAATATTAGCCCGTTGAAGAGTTTTTCAAGAGACATTCTATCTAAATATTAATGGTCTGAGTGTTCGATTTATGAGATTTTAATTGGAGAACTTTACGGATCGCAGGGCACGTAACGAGCGATTCTGATTTTTATCATAAGACAATTTTAGCTTTGAAAAGATTCAAATTTTATTTCCTCTTTTCACCAATGTTTCTACTACCATTCCTTCTGATATTATTTACAGGTAATTTATTTGCCTTTACTACGATGACAGTGGTTAGTCTTTAGAAGGGTAATAAAAAGGACCTTCTCTATTTATACTCGTATTTTTAATTTTCTGTATTTTTAGTTCTTACCAATGTTATAAATTTGAAAGTGAGTTGTTTGTTTGTTACCTCTTGGCGTCTTAACAGCTTAATTATTTAATATAAAATTAAACATTCAGGTAGTATATGGGATGGAAAAGAAATAGGCTACTTTTCATTTCGGTTAGTAAACATATTCTGATCACACAGATAAAGTCGCGGGTAAATACTCGTATTAGTACTAGTACTTATATAATTTTGTTTAAAAAAAAATATGAATTTTTGCAATGACGGGGTATTACTGAGAATGAATTTAAGTTATTGGCTTATATCGACGAATTAACCGGGTATTAAGTACGATTGCTTCAAGGGAAGCTATCCTGAAGGGATATTGCTAGCAATGGGTCTACTATGCCCCCTTGCTAATAATGTATTCTTCTTAGTAATCATCACGATGACTAACCTCTAACGCTAATCAATAAATAGTATTAATTCTTTATAAGTTTTTGACTAAATGGCGCTGTATGGCACACAGCGCAAAGAAAATAAAGTCGGTTTAGATAATTGACTAAACGGGAAATATGTTAACACTGCAATCTCAACTTTCCACTAGCCTGCCAAGTGTGTAGCTTATGGCTATATCCTAACGACATTATAGAAGTGATTTATATAGTGCAGTAAACTTGTATAGATTTTATGTGGCGCCTATACAAATGCAATATATTATTTCAATGTCATGTTATTGCAAAAAATTTGGAGCATTTATACATTTACGAAATGAGGGGAAAAGACTTAACTCTTCAATAGTGTACACTCATAATTACATTATTCTTATTTTAAAATCGATAAAGCGCACCAATAAAAGATGAGATGTTTGTATAGGGGCACTATATTCGAAATACAATATTTGAAATTAAAACGCGGAACTGTAATAAGCGGGGTTCCCTCCGCAAAAAATATGAGTATAAAGAAACAATTGGTTTAAAACCAATTGTTTTTTTATACTCATATTTTTGCCAGCATACCACCAGCTGCAATACATACACATACACACACACACACACACACACACACACACACACACACACACACACATACACACACGTAGACGCACACGCACACGCACAAACAAACACACACACACACACACACACACACACATATATATATATATATATATATATATATATATATATATATATATATATATATATATATATATATATATATAATTAAGAAAGTACTTATTTTGGTAACTGTTTAAAACGAATAATTAATTACCTTATTTGTTAGATATACAAAATGAATTCGAAGCTATAAGCATCCTTCCATGTTCTAATAAATTTGCATATATATATTTGTCAAAGAAACATACATTGAAAAAGGTCAAATTATTTTGAGTGTTCGTAGTAAGACGGTAACAATAAGTACCACACAATCACATGGATTCACAGGAAAGGAAAAGGAAGGTCACAGATTAAGAATAAGGTTTTTCTTTGTTCTAGTGAAACTGAATTACAAGCATTTTTGAATAGTAATATTTTTTATAATTCTCAAGCTAGGATACCCTGTGTTATGTGAAACCAGGCAACCAACATCTGGAAAACAATCCAGGACACTCAGAAAAGTTCATTCTCTAAATTGGTATCATCGGGCTTCGGACCGGAAACCTTATTTACGTAAAGCAGCCTACCTTAATGACTTTTCAAATTATGTAAATTAATTACGATTTGAATGGTTCTATTTTTCTACACATCTGTCCTACTATTACCGTAGCCAATTGCTTGGGTACCTCTGTTCCATTCGTGTTTCAACCGTAAAGCAGTTGTGTTTGCATGGCTGTGTTTCGCTTTGAAGGGTTCCCATCTTTAACCAAAAAAAAACTTTACTATTACTACAATCATTTTTTTTTATACAACTTAGAATGGCAAACAAGCTGACGGCCCACCTGATGGAAAGTGGTAACCGTCGCCTATAGACATAAGCAGTACCATGGACATGACAGAGTATACTGTTTCGCCCATGCGTTGCCATTCCTGAGGACTCAGATGTTATTCCTCTGTACCCTGTAAATTCACGCCATATCCTACCCTTCAAACCGAAACACAGCCATGCAAACACAACTGCTTCACGGTAGAAACACGAATGGGACAGAGGTACCCAAGCAATCGACTTTTGTACAAAGTCTCCCTCTTGTAGAATTTGATATTTACGAGTAGTCTTAACAGTTTATAATTAGTACTACTGGGGTCATATACTGCATTGTTATTCCCGTAGTTAGAATATTTAGTACTAAATTTAAATTATAACTGGTCTAGTAGGTAATAGAGTTCACTTAATTCTGTTAATTATAGTTCATAGCAATAAACGGTTGTTGCATATTATAATAGACATTTCATATTTATCTATTCCGGCTTCTGTTTTAGTTTATGGCCTTTGACTGTCCCATTAGCGGTTTTAGTCGTGAGCTTTTTTATTTATTTTACTCTTATATTAAAATTTATTTTTTTACTCTTGTTTAAATTTATTTCGGATATATAACTATATATATAATATATAACTATCGGAAATTCAATAGAGACCCAGCCCAGATTGGTACGGATAGATAGAAGTTTAGAAAATAATATATATATATTGTAGATTTGTTATAGGTGAAATTTTTTTGAAATTGGTTAAATAGTTTTTGGATTTATCCATTACAAATTATGCCTGTAACTACTAATAAACTGTTAGTTTATCTCATATTGGGTTTGCAGGAAGAAATCTATTTCAGAAATAAGCTTGCCCTTGTGTAATTTTATGTTTGTTTTTTCTGATACTAGTCCATTTTGTGTACAATAAAGATAATATAAGAATATAAACGTTTGATCGTTTGTTTGTTTATGTTCTTATATATAATCAATTTTTTTCTCTTTATAGTACTAGTATAAGTGTAATATATATTACTAAACTTATTTCTATATTTTTTAAAATATAGTATTAGCGTTTGAATTTTAGACTTTCTTCCACATTTATTACAAACTTTATATAGTTAGTAGGTATCCGATTAATACAGGAGTAAACCTTATTAAATAAAAAATAGATTCTTAACTTCTGAGGATATCTCTTTATGGTCATTTGAGAAGTTCAATAAATTATAAATTATAATTCTATCCCGATCAATTCACATATGATGGTCACGCAGACGAAATTGCGGGTAATATAATTAGTCAGATATAAAATTCCTGTTTATATTTTAATTTTTGAGTAGGAATATGATTCACACTTATTTATATAATAGCTTTTACCCGCGACTTTGTTCATGTGACCGA